AAAAAAAAAAAAAAAAAAAAAAAAAAAAAAAAAACTATTCCAATAATTTGTACTAGTTTCCAAATATTACTATTTGTTAATAAAATCTCTCATTTCTTTTTTCAAATTAACTGATTACCTCAAGAGTGCCTTCTAGGAATGTTTGGACATTTGTTCAAAAACATGACTACCATAATCCTAGATTTCTGATTTCTATACCAATTTAAATCACCAACTTAGAACTGTTCAGTTTTTTTCCTTAAGAAACAAAAAGCAAGACAGTTTTTTGAAGCTACTAAAAAATCTGACTGTTAAAACAACATGTAAAACCTTTTTGTGACCTTAGTGCAAGTCACTTTACGACCGTTGACCTAAGTTCCTAATCTATAAAATGGGGATAATTAAACCTGTTCTATTTACTGCAAACATCAACTAAGATTTCAGGAGAAAAACAATTTAAAGTGTCAAAAACCTGCTACCGTATGAAAAAAGCACAATGTCATTTACTTTTCATTTTCAATCCATTTTTTTGTTACAGGATTACAGAATTAATTTATGTAAAGCATAGTGTAACCACAGACAGCGTAACAGAATCTATTCAAGCTCTTCTAATAAACAGGACTGAGTTAAAAATTTAGCATAATTATAAATTCCAAATTTAATGCTAAATGACATTCACATTTCAATAATTCGTTCTGCAGTGCATAAAGTTGTAGAGCTATTAAAAGACGTGAGTGAATTATAAATAAACCGTTATTAAACACAAATAGTTGAAGAAATACACCTGAAATTAACAATAGCCACAAGCACTGATTTGGTCCATGTAATGAGAATGAGCAGAAGCGTAGAGTCCGGGAGTTTACTGAAAATCTACAAGATTTCAGTAATCAAACAGGAGAACATGGATCAAAACAGCCTAGGGCAACAGAAATAAATGAGTTAATAGACGTTCTCGTGTAGATTTTAGCATAGGAAAACAACAAAGGGAAGAAACCAAGGACTGAACGTCTATTTCTTTTAAACTAATGGATTTTAAAAAAGAGAAAAAAACTTGTAACATTATTTCACAGATCTCCTACCAATACTGCCATTAAAAAAATTTAAACCTCTATAAAGCAAAAAAGTTTACGTTTCAGGAACGTACTAACACCAGTAACCGTGAACATCAGATGATTTTTCTTTGTTGCTTATAGATGACACAGCTTTCTTCCTGACAGTCCACAACTAATTACAACCCAACTGCTTGCCTAACGGCCAGTTCCTACCTCCACCTAAACAGTAGTAACGAAAGGGACATTCAAGCATCCCAAAGAGGGTCCTCGGGTACAGAGACGGGCGTTAGGAAGGGGTCGCGGGAGTCTGGCTGCGTTGGGAGAGGCTCGGGGCGACGAGCGGCGCTGGGCAGCTGGGGCCTGCTGGCCGCGTCCCTCGCCCCGAGCCGGGAGATTTCTGCGGGGCTCGGGGCGCTTTGGGGACCAGGCCAGACCATGCCTCAGGCCCGGGTGCCGGGAGAGGCAGCAGTGGGGCCAGGCCCGCTGTGTCACAAACCGACCGGGGAAGGCGCTTAACAGTCACAGGCCGGCAGCCCCGGCCTCTCTGGCTAGGAGGAAAGGCTAGGGGCACCCGGGGCCTGAAGGAACAGGGCGCGGAGGGTCTGCATGGCCCCTGTGGGGGATCTGGCGGAGGAGTCGCAGCCGTCCCTGGGGAGCGGAATAGCAGAGGCAGTAGTGCGAGCCCAGAGCCGCCCGCGTCTCGGGGAGGGCGGGCCGGCGGCTGAGGTATATTAGAGGATGAAGGTAGGCCGGAGGGGTGTCCCGGCCGCCTCTCTAGCCCCTGCCTTCTTCACCTGCCACGAACACCACGAAGACCGCGCCGCTTCTTTTGGCTGTCGCGATGGCAGCCGGAATGGCGCCCTGGAACCACAGCATCGCTCCCTTTGGGCCCAGGCGCTAGCTCAGTGTGTCGTCGCTGCGATCCCGTAGCCGGCTCCGCCCTCCGTCTTCGTCGGGTTCTGCGGCCCCGGCAGCCTCTATTGGTTCGGCCCCCACCTCCCGCTCCGCACAAGGGCGCACGCCCGTCAGCGGCACCCGGAGACGCGCGGTAGCGCGTACGAGAACAACCCACGTCACAAGACGCAACCAGTCGCTGTCGGTGCCCCAATGCCTTCTCTCGTTGGCGAGCCGGTGGTGCGTGCCCGCGCCCGCGAGGCCTCCAGCCGCGCAGTCCAGGAAGTGGAGGGAGGCGATGGGAAGGATGACTAACTGCTACGGCACGTCGACGGCGCCTGCAGTGAGGTATGACGGGAATTGTAGTCCTACTAGGCTTATTCGCCTCCATAGTGTGGAAAATGTAACTGTGGGTTCTGAGGCACGGCTAAAGGGGGCAGTAGAGAGGGCCACTGCACATTCTGTAAAGGGGAGAAGGAGGACGGGAAGTGTCATTGACTGGCATAAGCTATTCTCTCCTCATTGAGACTCTAGTGTGGAAGAAATCGTCCACGCATGGAACTAAATGGGCTTTGTAGGGATTAACTCCAAGTCTTTGATTTCTACTGAACTTAGCTCAACCTTGTAGAAAAACGGGCTAAAAACCTCAAGTCACCTTCTATAATAACCTGTAGTTCATGTGCCTAAGCGGAGGAATTGGTAGAATGCGGACCTTCAGCAATTTCTTAGACTCTGGCAATTCCTAGGCACTTCAAAACGCATTATGCTATTGCCACAGCTACTTTTTAAAGTAACACAAAAGCAGAGAATAGATTATTTATTTTCCAGCTACTTTCCATGATAATACAAAAGAGACTAGAAAAGTGATTTCTGATTTTCTGGGAAAATGTCCTATAATCAAGACGTGGCACTTTGTGGTTGGCTGCCATTAAATGAAAACTGATCCATATTTAATATTTTCATGAAATGACATGGTCTGTAATAACTACTAGCTAAAGGCTTGCAGGGTTTATTTAAAGTTGCATTTGCTATTATGTTAAATTCTACATCAATTTAATTTATCTTCCAGCAGTACAACTATCTGACAATCTTTACAAGATAAAGGAAGTGATGCATCTGAAAATACCACCTTTCCTACAGATATTTTCCCTAAATGTAGCTAATTATTTGCACTCTGATTTTTCTACTTTTTTTTCCCCCAATCAGGCCTTTCATATATAGGGTTATTATACACTGAGTCATAATGCTGATTAGGGACGGTTGCTTCTATAGGACAGCAGTCCTCAGGAAAAATTAAAATTGACCTTTAACATAAACTTTAATAGGCTTCTTGAAATTCGATCAATCTAGAAATTATTCCAATCGTACTATGTCTTTAATTATTTCTAATTTTAGAATTAAATAAGAATCCTTCATAGTTTTACGTTCATTTGCCAAATGTTTATCACTCATCTATTATGAGCTAGGCATACTACCTGGCACTGATAAGGAGGTTAGGCAGTCAGAAAAAGGCCCTGTCTTTGTGACTGTACAGTCTAGTCAGGAAGGCAGACATTGAATAAATGATTGTGAGTGAGGATAAATGTCACGGAAGGTAAAGTCAGAGTGCTCCAGAAGTATATGAGGATGGGACCAAACATGGACTAATGGATTCAGAAAAGCCCTTCATGGGCTGGGCTGGAGTGCAGTGGTGCAATCTCTGCCCACTGCAACTTGGGACTCCCTGGTTCAAGCAATTCTCCTGCCTCAGCCTCCCGAGTAGCTGGGATTACAGGCACGCACCACCACGCCCAGCTAATTTTTGTATTTTTTGTAGAGGCAGTGTTTCCCTATGTGGGCCAGACTGGTCTCGATCTCCTGACCTTGTGATTCGCCCACCTCAACCTCACGAAGTGCCAAGATTATAGGTGTGCGCCACCCACCTGGCCAAGACTTCTGTTTTTAAATTGTAGCATAGTAATTGAATAGATTGGATTTGAAGTGGAATGGCTGAATGTGAAGAGAACAGGTAAGAGTCAATTATTCATGTATTAACATAAGGGAGATGGAGAAGTAGATATTTTTGATATTTTGGAGACAGATCCAATATATTTTGTTGATTACATGTGGAGGTTGAGGAAGAAGGACTCAAGAAGGGATTTTGTGACCAAGTATAGTCGCTCATGCCTGTAATCCAAGCACTTTGGGAGGCCAAGGCAGGAGGATCTCTTGAACCCAGGAATTTGAGGCTGCAATGAGCTATGACCACACCACTGCACTCCAGCTTGGGCGACAGAGCAAGACCCTGTCTCAAAAAAAAAAAAAAAAAAAAAGAAGCGAGAGAGAGATTTTGAGTAATCCCAGCTATGGGAGGCTGAGGCAGGAGAATTGCTTGAATTCAGGGATGGGGAGGTTGCAGTGAGCTGAGATCATGCCATTGCACTCCAGCCTGAACAACAGCGTGGGACTCCATCTCAAAATCAAATCAAATAAGTATAAACTAGTAAAAGAGATTCAGCAGGAAAGGCAGAGTGTGGGGTGGTGGAAGAAGATGGGAGAGTGTGTGATATCAAAGAAGCCAAGGGTCGAGAGAGTTTTGAGTAAGGAGTGAGAAGCAGTGGTGTAGAATGCTGCTGTTGGGTCAATTAAGATGAGAGACTAAAAAATATCCATTGTTTTGATTAACACAGAGGTCATTTTAAGCATAGCAAAAGCAACTCTCATGGGTTCTTATATGCGGAAGCCAAGGCGGCAGGAGTTGAAAAGTGAAGGGCCGTAAAGAATTAGTGAGTGTGAAGGTGTGGAGGAAGAAAGGAACATTAGCTGGACGGGAATTGGAACTGGGAAAGACAGCATTTTTAAAGACAGGTGAGGTTTGCACAAAATTAAATGCTGTTGGAAAGGAGTTGGTCTTAGATTGAACAAATGAGAAAGCGGAGGGCCCCTACAGAGATGGGAGGGAAAATGGGGTATACAGCACATTCTGCTGATGGCCGACCCAGTAGTCATTCTTCTACCATGCCTTCTATTATACCTTCCTGACATAGTTCACTTTCTACTGAGAGGCAAAACTACCAGATACTGGATGGGGTGCAGTAGCTCATGCCTGTAATCCCAACACTTTGGGAGGTTGAGATGGGTGGATCACTTGAGGTCAGGAGTTCAAGACCAGCCTGACCAACATGGTGAAACCCCATCTCTACTAAAAATACAAAAATGAGCCAGGCATGGTGGCGCATGCCTGTAATCCCAGTTATGGGAGGCTGAGGCATGAGAATTGCTTGAATGACTGAGTAAAGAAGACTTACCTGAGGCCAGGTGTGGTGGCTCATGCCTGTAATCCCAGCACTTTGGGAGGCCCAGGTGGGCAGAGCACCTGACATCAGGAGTTCGAGACCAGCCTGACCAACGTGAAGAAATCCTGTCTCTACTAAAAAAAAAAAAAAAAAAAAAAAAAAATTAACCGGGCATCGTGGTACATTCCTGTGGTCCCAGCTACTCGGGAGGCTGAGGCAGGAGAATCACTTGAATCTGAGAGGCAGAGGTTTCGGTGAGCCGAGGTCACACTATTGTACTCCCTGCTGGGTGACAGGAGCGAAACTCCATCTCAAAGAAAAAAAAATGACTTACCTGTAATTCTGAGGCCCTCTGCCCTCACCTGGAGTCAGGGCAGGAAGGATGACAGGTGTGGACGGTAGGGCATCGCTGCAGGTACTCACCTGTCTGGCTGGAAACCCCCTGTGTGGACAGACAATGCAGCCACAGCAGCAGGTGCGCCTCCCTCCTTCAGGGGCTTCCTCAGTCCAGGGCCACACCATAGGCCGCACCTCAGGGAATCCAAAACAGAACATGAGGGACGTTTCGTCACAACTGAGCAATATGTACAGCAGTGGAGGTATCTAATAGGAAAGGCATTTCTATGCTTTTGGAGGACTTTGGGTGTTTTCCTTACTGTAATCAATCAATTAATTGATAAAATATCCTAGTCCACATCCTGACCTATTATAAATATTTAAAAGCACCTTTGTGTAGACATTGGACAATTAGTTGAAAATCCTAGACAGTTAAGCAGATGATTTATAATATTTGTGGACATTGAGATGCAGGGAAGGGCTGGGTACGGTGGCTTGTGCCTGTAATCCCAGCACTTTGAGAGTCTGAGGCGGGCCTGAGGTCAGGAGTTCGAGACCAGCCTGGCCAACATGGTGAAACCCTGTCTCTACTAAAAATACAAAATTTAGCCAGGAGTAGTGGCACACACTGTCCCAGCTACTCAGGAGGCTGAGGCAGCAGAATCACTTGAACACAGGAGGCAGAGGTTGCAGCATTGAGCTGAGATTGTGCCACTGCACTCCAGCCTGGGTGACAGAGCAAGACTCCATCTCTAAAAAAGAAAAAAAGGTTGGGCATGGTGGCTCAGACCTGTAATCTCAGCACTTTGGGAGGCTGAGGTGAGCAGGTCATGAGGTCAGGAGTTCGAGACCAGCCTGGCCAACATGGTGAAACCCCATCTCTACTAAAAATACAAAAATTAGCTGGTGCAGTGGTGAGTCCCTGTAATCCCAGCTACTCAGGGGGCTGAGGCAGGAGAATCATTTGAAACCAGGTGGCACAGGTTGCAGTGAGCTGAGATAGCACCACTGCACTCCAGCCTGGGCAACAGGGCAAGACTCAGTCTCAGAAAAAAACCAAACCAAAACAAAACAAAAAAAACCCAGGAAAGGTGTGACTTCCAGAGCTTAGAGCAGGCACACATCCAGTGTTAACATCACCCAAGAATCCAGCGGCTCCTTGTCACCTCCTGCTGTGCAGCAAATTCTGGACCCCATGGAGACTGAGACACAAAGTGCCACCTTCAGAAACTTTAGTCCCCGAAAATTTCTTGCACTTCAGAATGTCACATCCTGCCAGGTGTTTTATTCTCCTTCAAGGAGACTTGCTCCTGGCGGTATTGTTAGCCCGGCTGCCTCTCAGGTGGGAGTGCAGCTGGGAGAGATGCATGTTCATGTCATGCAGCACGAATTCAAACAATAAAACAGCCACACCACCTGTGGAGGTTTGTTTTGCAGACCCCAGCTTAGGCACAGATGAATGAATGCACTCACGACCAGTACAGTGATTTTGGATGGGGCGGGGATGTTTGTTAACTGCTTTTAGAGGGTGGTTTTAGCAAACCCGGCCATGACTCCCTGTACCTTCTTACATTTATTTGGTATAGATTGAATAACAGAGGCTTTAAGTTAACACACTTGTGGATAATTAACATGGTTCAAAGAGTGGTTTTGAATGATAAAAGCTTTTGGTTTTGGGCCCAGAGAAAACACCCTTCACGTGTAA